AATTAAGCTATCATTCTTACCACTTGCCTGACTTCTTTTATGCCAAATGAGTAAAAGATTGTTATTTTGGTGGGGGGCTGGAGGTATGGTACTCAGGTGGCAGAGCCTTTGCTTAGCCAAGTGCAAGGCCCTGAATTCAAACCCTAGACCCCCCAACCCAAAAAATGATTTTTTTGTTGTTGTTAAGGCTGTTCCTTTTTTATTTTTGTATCTACTTTTCCTGGTACTTAATAGTTCCTTAGAAGTGTTTTTGAATATGTAAATGATAGCTAGGATAATTACTTCCCTTTTTTAAAAATACATTTTAATGTATGGGTTTTTTTGTTTTGTTTTGTTTGGTTTTTTTGGTAGTACTGGAGTTTGAACTCTGGGCCTCACACTTGCTTGGCAGGCGCTCTTACCGCTTGAGCCACTCCTAGATTTCTATGACTCTTAATATTTATGGTACATATGCCCTTCTCATTTTTTGTACCTAGCAATATCTGCCTTTTGTTATTAGGAATCTGTTAGTCCCCTGATGTACATGATTTTATTCCTTACTTAGAGTTGGGCCATCTTACTAACATCAGTTGGTTACTAGAAAAATAATCCATCACAACCAGGCTTAACTTACTGGGGTTTGAACTAGGGCTTCGTGCTTGCTAGGCAAGTGTTCTGCCACTTGAGTCACACCTCCAGCACAACCAGCTTTAGATAATTGGCTTTATAGCCCAAAATAACAGATTCCATCCTTACTCCATTTAAAAAAATAGAGTTGGATATAATAGTGCATAGCTGTGATCTCAGCCCTTGGGAGGCTGAAGCAGGAAGATCTCAAGTTTGAGACTAGCCTGGCTACATAGTCAGACCTTGTCTCCAAAAAAAAAAAAGTATAGATAGATAGATAGATAGATAGATAAATCTATGTACACAGAATCTATTCATCTGGATTTTTTTTTTTTTTTGGCAGTATTAGAGTTTGAACTCAGGGCCTCATACTTGCTAGGCCACTTGCTTTTACCACTTGAGCCACTCTGCCAGTCCTGTTTTGTGTTGGGTATTTTTGAGATAGGGTCTCTCAAACTACATTGCCCAGGCTGACTTCGAACCTCAGTCCTCCTGATCTCTTCCTCCTGCGTAACTACGTTTATAAGCATGATCCACTGGCACCTGGCCTCATCTGTTTTCTTACTTGCATAGTGACCACATTTTAGGATCTACCTCTAGCTCTGACAAAACCTTTAACAGAGACTTTTTGAAATTATCTCAATTATTAAAAATCATTCTCTAATGCATATATGAATAATAAAAGAAAAAAATCATTCTCTAATCCTCAGATTTTTTTCTAACTTCTCTTTCCAGCATTCAGGTAACTTCTTTTTTGGGTAGATCATAATTTTTTTGTGGGATGGGATTTGAACTCAGGGCTTAATGCTTGCAAAACAGACACTGTACTGTTTGGGCCATGGACTGCTTGGACCTCTGGTCCATTTTGCTGTGGTTATTTCTTTTTTTAATTTTATTATTGTATCATTGTTGTACTGACAGTACATTGGGACATTTGTAAGAACAAAAGTTCCTACAATAGATCATAGTTGAACAACTGGTTATTTTGGAAGTGGGGTCTCACAAAGTATTTGCCTGGACTAACCTTGAAACACAGTCCTGATCTCAGTCTCCGACTTACAGATGTGAGCCACTGGTGCCTAGCAGAATCCTAATTTTTATCATTTACGCATTTTGTTTCCTATGAATACAGGAGTGTTTTCCTCTTCAGACTTGGCCTGTAGGACAGCCTTTTAATGCATCTTTGTTTTCCTGCTTTAAGATATTGGCTGAAAGCATCTCACTTAATCTTAACAATGCCTCTTAATGTATGTATCCTTCTCCTGTTATTTATTGTTTACTTCTATAAAATGCTTAGATCGAGGAGCCAACACACTGTGAGTGCCATGCCCAGACATATGATTTACTTGTTAAGCAGTAGAATTATAAATGAGGTATGAGTTAAATTCTAGTGAATGGCAGCGTGGTTATTCAAGATTTCATGTTTTGTCTCCATCTGTTTATACTACAGAAATATATTGCTTTTTGTCTTAGAGAGAACATCAGTTTGACCTCTCTGATAACTAAAAATTTGTTTTGAGTGTCAGAAATAACCAACAGCATTCTTCATATGTAACAATTGATGCAGCAGACAAAGAATGAAAGAGAAATTTATTTTTTGGTGGGATTGGGGTTTGAATTTAGGCCTTTGCATTTGCAAAGCCTGTTCTCTACCACTTGAGCCACATCTCCTGAAGGAGAAATTTAAAAGCAAAAGATGTAATTTGGAATTTTTTTTAGGTGGGGGGACAGATCATTCTTATTGTTAAATATTTAAATTTTCTTTAAAGCAAGAGTGATAGAAATGACAAGGGGCAAGAGAATGAGGGAATGATTTAAGAATAGATGTGGGCATTTAAGAAAGCCAGCCTTCTTCCTCCCATTGTGGTCTCTCCTTGGTGAAAATGGTAAAACAAAGGCCAGCAGATTGGGAAGGAAGCAGGAAATCCCAGTTAATGGCTGTTAATTGAACATTTAAGAGCAAAGAAAATACTTTCTTCTGTTAGATTTTCTTCCCCAAGGTTTATTATTATTATTGTTGTTGTTGTATTTTAGACAGACATGATTTTTCATCTCAGATTCCTAGTAAAGATTCCATTAAATAAAATTGAAAGCCATATATTGATATATTGTGGTGTGATTGTGCAAAGCCAAATTAAGATTTGAATTTTGTGACTTTAAGGAGAAACTGGTACAGAATTATTTTAATCACTTCTTATGCTAGTGCTGCCCCCTTCTCAGCCAGAACCTTTTCCCCCTTTTAGAAAAATGAGAAAATTTAGTCCCAAGTAACAGAACCAAAATAAAAGTAAGGAATTTCTTCCTGGTTCGTATGTTGTGTATACTCCCAGCCCTTTTGAACCTTCCTGGTTCAAGATATGTTAGAGGACCTTTTTGAAATTAAATCCTCATTTTACAATTATGTTAGGAAAACAAATTCTGGGACTAGGAAGTGAAATTATCCCTAGCACAGCAGTTAAGAATTTATCCAGGCATGAATTGCTTTCCATAGATGATCTAAATTTTCAGTCATAATGGCCTTGATCTTCGTATTTATTTGCTTTTATTTACTCATATTTATTTGTTTGTATTATGTTGTGGTTCCAGAAAGTATTTAAAAAAAATCATGTATTTAAAACAAACAAACCAGAAAATCTCCTTGTCCTGGGGCTGTGTGAAGAAGAATGAAGTTCTCATTTCCTAGTACCCAATCATCAGCATGAACTGGCCTCTCCTAGGAACAGAATTTATTGAAGCAATTTATCCTGGCTAAATGTGATATAAATCTGTGTACACGTATGTACATACAGGGTCTCTTCCAGTACAAGCAATGCTGTAGCAGCACTTTCCTTCATAGGTAGACTGTGTTCCTGTCACATTGAAAGATGACCACGAAGCTCCTTCTATTTTATGGGGCACCCCACAATTTTAAACACCGATTAGTTGTGGAATTACTGATTAGACAACCAGAAATACTGGTTTCTAACTCCAGAGTGAGTCCTAGGAGAGGAGGGATGTAACCTAGTTCTTCTCCACTTTTAAGCATGGTGTGGCAGTTACCAGAGTCATTCTAGCATGTTGACATTTTATTTTAATGCAGACCTGACTGAGATTGACCTGACATTTCAGTTTATCTCCAAGATAAAATTTGAAATTTGGTTCCAGTTCTGAAGTCATTTCCAGATATATTCATATTCAGATGATGGTTCCTTTCATCTTCCCTTGTTCACATTCTTCTGTATACCTTTCTTTATTGTGAAAAGATGTTTGAAAATGTCTAGGAATTTATTCCATAATACTATTTTTACTCCTCCCTCCATTTTTCTCTTCCACCTTTCCAAAATACACTTATCTTTTATATCTTTTTATTTTACTGTGATTTGCATTTCTAATCCTTATTCATTTTTATTCCTAGTTGAAATACGAGAGGTGTTACCAACACATTCAGGTTAAAATTATTGATTTTTGACAAAAAATTTTGATCAGCATTTCAAGAGTTTAGCTTTAGTAATTAAAAAAAAACCAATATAAATGCTGTTAAATTCTTCAGAGAAATAGAGGGGATGGATGATAATGCCTTTAAGTGTCATTTCTTTTATCCCCTGCAGCAGCACACATCTGTTGGCTGCAACAGAACAGCCCAAGAACTCCGGCCGAGAGCAGCACAAACAGCAGGAACATATTCACCCAGTAAACCCCCAAAGAGTCGACATTTGTTTTATTGCTGCTTTTAAAAACCTAGCCATAAATAGAATCAGAGGGGGGAAGGGCACCAATATTTCTCCATTTGCCACAGATGATTGGTGGGGGGGGAGGAGGAGGCTCCCAGTGGGGAGAGGAGAGGTTCTTGTTTTTATTTTTTTATTAATGAATATCATTTCCCATGTAACCCAATAAGGATGGGTGCTTTGTTTTCTTTGGCAATAATCTGGGATAAACGACCCTTGCCAACAGGTTCGTAGTTTATACACCAGGGAGCCAGATTATGGCCCTGTAAAATGGAGCACCCCTCCTATAATCCCTTAATTAATTAAGTGACAAATTTTGGTCTTCTCTAGATCAGAAATATGGCTTCCGCATCGAGCGTTCAGTGGATTTATTGACATAGGGAACTGCACTGGTTGTAATTCAGCAGGCTAGAGAAGTATGTATATACTATAGCAGAAAAGGAAAACCTACCAAAGGTTTGAAATTCCTTGACTATTTAAGTCGAAATTTTTCTAATTAAAAGTTTCAATTGTGACATAGTAGATCATGTGCCACCTGTCTAATGGGTCTCCCCAAAGTAGCTTGTGTTTACAGCTTTGATAGATGGCATTCTTGGAACACCTGTTTCTAGGCTTGATATTTTTGAAGCACATTTTTTTGCTCCAGCGTATTTAACATAACTTTTCCCCTACCTCCCCCCTCCTCAGCTCCACTCTGCTATATGAAATATGGGAGACGACAGACCGTTTGTGTGCAATGCCCCAGGCTGTGGACAGGTACGTTTACAATATACTTTATTGTGAATGTCTCGTTGTGAATCAAAGTGGCTGTTTTATCACTAAGGCAAAGAGTTTAAAGCCGGTATTTTACGTGATCACTGGAGGTAATCAGATCAGAGGATTTGCAGTGTGTAAATCCAAGTTATGAGGAAGTGTAGGCACTCTACCATAATGAAATCTGCCTTGCTTTCTTCCATATTGTTATTCTACTGGTGTTGTTTTCCAACACTCAGAGTTAAGAACACATGTTACTCTCTCCTCCTTTCTGTAGCTATCCATCTAAATACAAAGCAGATTTAGAAATATCTTTTCAACCTTCATGGATATAAAAGTCCGCCTAATATATTTGGAGAGGCAGCTGAGAATGTACCCATTCATTGTAAACCCCAGTTTCACAGTCTATTTGGATTTTTGGTTTTGGTTTTTTAAAAATACGGAATGCTTCACGAATTTGTGGGTCATCCTTGTGCAGGGGCCATGCTAATCCTCTCTGTATCTTTCCAATTTTAGTATGCATGATGCCAAAGCAAGAAAACTGTTTAGATTTTTTAAATAAGAAAAAAATACGTTTCTTTTGATTGTTGATCCAGAAAATCATTGTTAACAGTTAAAGCAGTTATCTATATAGAAAAGACAAATTCAATATAGAACCTGAGATCTCATAGCATTATATAAATATTTCCTGTCTGATGCCATGAAATACATTATTCTGTGTCAAATGCCATGTAATTGTATGTCTGTTTATTATATCAGATATTTTTCATTGAATGCTTTTTTAATAAAATGATTTGTTGAAATTGCCTTTTTTCCCCTCCTTTTGAACTTTTTTTGCTCTTTTTTCCTGGTCCTTTTCCTGTTGGCATGATCTACAGAGGATGAAAAAAGGAATGCAAAAAGTTTTATCTATCTTCATTAATTCATTTTATAGAACCTGAAGGATGACTCTCTGTTCAATTAGGAGTATGTCATGTGACTGTCCAGTGACACTTACTGGTGGTATGTGAGATTGCAGACTGGTTCTATTAAACGTTGTAAATGCTCAGACAAAAAAGAAGAGCTACATTCAAGAGATTCTTAAGAATTAGAATTTGAGAGGTAGGTGAGGTGATGATGATGGCAAGGAGTGGACAGAAGGAAGATTCCAAGTTTCAATATATGTTGAAATTTCAGATTTTTCAGACTTTAAAATGGGCAACCCTCTCTTGGGATCCTTCCCAGCTGTATTCTTTGCTACTTTCTATCAATAAACTTTTCCCCTTTACATACACACACACACACACACACACACACACACACACTCACTCACTCACTCACTCACTCACTCCTTCCCAGCTGTATTCTTTGCTACTTTCTATCAATAAACTTTTCCACACACACACACACACACACACACACACACACACACACACACACACACACACACACACCCCCCCCCCCCCCCAGTGGGCAACCCTCTCTTGGGATCCTTCCCAGCTACTTTCTATCAATAAACTTTTCCCCTTTACTTACACACACACACACACACTTCAAAGCCATTATATTCAGCATCATAGAGTATATTTCCTTCCTTGTCAAAGTTCTTTTTTTATTGCCTCTTGTTTCACCATATGGCTTATGTGTGTGTGGGCAAACAGTAGAAACCAGTTGGGAAAATAGGGTAAATTTGTTTCACTTTTGGGGCAGGTGCTTTTTATCACTTGAGCCACTCCACCAGCCCTTTGTTTCACTTTTAAAACAGCTCTATTAAAGTGCAAACCCCACCATCACCAAAAACAACAACCACAAAAAAAGCGTATATGTAAAAATGATCTCTCCAAAAATTTGTGGGTGAATTTTTTTCTTTTTCTTTTTTTGGTGGTGCTAGGGTTTGAAACACAGGTTTTCAAGCTTGCTAGGCAGCACTCTATCACTTGAGCCACTCTGCCAGCCCTTTTTTGTGTTGGATATTTTCAAGATAGGGTCTAGTGAACTGTTTGCCTGGGCTGGCTTTGAACCTCTATCCTCCTGATCTCTGCCTCCTGAGTAGCCAGGATTATAGATGTGAGCCACCAGCACCCAGCTTCCATGTGTGAATATGATATTGCTATTTATTATGACTCCCACAGCTGAAACCTGGTACCCTTTTTACTTCTTTCTCTACTTGAAAAATCTGAATTTTTTGATGAGTTTATTTTCCTCATATTTACCATTATTTTCTTCATTTATTATTTAATCTACTCAGCTTCTGTACTCCTCTTTTATGTTGTATGCTTAAAACCACCCAAACAGACTTCTTGAAGAAATAAAAATAGATGATAAAATAAGGGATACATAAGAAAAGTATCTCTTAAGCTCCCTGAGGAAGAAAGATACAAGTAGTATCTCTTCAGGTTGTCTTGTTGGAGAATAGTGTTCATTGAAATTTGTAAAATGTCACAAAGCTTATGAAATTTGTGTCTGTTTCCTTGTTTGTCTTTTGCCTTTTAAAAATGTTTTTAAACTACAAGTAGAAAAATACTAAGAACTTTTTTTTTTTTTTTTGCTTTGGTTCTTCTTTTGTGATATTAGGGTTTACCATAAGCCTTTTCCCTTCCCCTACTTTTCTCTCTCATTTCTGACTCATTTATGAATTATGTGTTGGTATTTTTGTAACTTGGGTTCACTATAACCTCTGGCTTAGGTTTTAAAAGCTGTCCCTATCCCCTCAGTGGGAAGGTGAATGTGAAACTTGGAATTTGGGAAAATTGCTACCTTCTTTTGGATTCAAGTAATTTATTTCATAGAAAAAGGATAGAAAGCAACAGCTTAAGACTCAGAAAGTAGCATGATTCATTCCTTTGCCTCCTTTGCATGTCAAAACTATGATCAGGTGAGATTGTAGTTTTGAAGTTATATTTAGTTTCCTTCCAAATTTCTTCCAGTGTCTGGTAACAAATAGCTCTAGAGTGGGATCGCAACAAGATGTACTGCGATTGCTTTATGTTATATGATATAGTGAAAATCTGGTAGAGAAGATAAATTTGGTAAAGTTATCTACCGTTGGCATGTCATCCAACTTCCTTATATCCCTTGAGAACAGTTTCATTCTGGAATCACCTTGAAGCCTTCAAATTACTTGTAATCTGTTTGTCATTGATGCAAATTATATTTTTCAGAAATAATACAATACTAAAAAGGCTATGTAAGCTCCAAGAGGGATATAATAAGGATCATGATAATTTTTGTAAAGTGTGGTTTAGAACCTGTTACTAAGGAGTCTCAAAAAGCAGTGGTTTCGCTGGGCAGTCGTTTAGCTGGGCATGATGGTAGAAGTCTATAATTCTAGCATAGAAGAGGCTTACTTAGGCAGGGGGATTGTGAGTTCAAGTCAACCTGGGCTATATAGCAAGATCCTGTCATTAAAAAAAAAAAATAGAGGGAAGGAGGGAAGGAAAGAACAAAAGAAAGAAGAAAAGAAGGACACTGGCTTCTACTAGGTAGAAAAAGAAAGAATGAAAGCAAATTTTAATTCAGGAGACTAGTTCTTAAAAAGCACTCAAATAAAACTATAGGAATATTGCTTTATTTCTCTGTCTTTTTCCTGCACAGACTTTACCCTGAACTCAGGAGTCATTCTACAGTTTAGTATTAAGGGAAGGTGAAAGGAAAATTTACCTAAAATAGACTAGTGGATTATGCCCTCCACTATATAATCAAAACCACCAGGCCTTCAGTGGATACGTAAACATGTTTTGGTTGCTAGGTCTTTAATGGCTGTTATTTTTGGATTCTGTTCATGATCCACTTCCCAACAGTAAGTCTGATGTGACACAGCTGAGTTCTAAATATGCTGCATGTACTTTTAAAAAAAAAAAAAGTGGCTGCCGAGGATTGTGCTGTCTACATTAATCTGAAAAAACAGGTGATGGGGCTTTTTAGCCCTCTTATTCCTATTCTCCTATTGAGACTTTGTTTCTCTTGAGGCCTTATCACCCTCATGAAGAGGATCTTGGGGAAAGCAATATTCCTGCTAAAACCTCTCTATGGAATGTGGTAGCAGGAGTCCTTAATAGAGCTGCTTCCTGAGAGAATGGGTTAGTGTTGTTAAGGCAACAGTGCTCTAGATACCCTATTGGCAGAGGACTTCTGAATCAATTTTGAAATGTTTATAAGATAGCATATATGCCTGTAATTCCAAGTACTCTGGAGTTTGAGGCCAGCCTGGGCAATTTAGTGAGACCCTGTCTCCAAAAAAAAAAAAGAGTGTAATTTGCATGGTAGAATATTTGCCTAGCTTTCTTAAGGCTCTGGATTCAATCCTAGTACTGCAAACAACAACAAAAAACCTATTTAAAAATATTATAACTTTAAAATGGCTTTGCCTCTTGTTAAAATAATAGAAATATAATTAGGTGCTGAATCTAGAAAATCATGTAAGCTTTTTGTCTTTATTTTTTGGGAGTGGGGTTAGGACAGATTCTCACTATTTTACCCAGCCATTGTCAAACTCCTGGGCTCAAGTAATCCTACCGTTTCAGCCTCCCAAGTAGCTGGGACTATAGAGACGCATCATCATACCTGGTTTAGTGTTGCAAGTTTTTATACTTTCAGGAGCTACTTTTACTTGAAGGTAAGTTATAATGCCATTTAATTGTATGTGGAAGCAGGTATACATATTATGTCTCTATCAGAAATCTTGAATTTGAGATGTTATTTCATATGTATGCAGTTAGATAACATATTTTTTAATTGGTTTTTGCCCAGTTTTTATTATCAGTAGTCAACAAATTCCATTCTCTTATACCTTCTTCTCAGGCAATAGAAATTATGCAGATTTAGATAGACCTTCTGGATATCATTATCAAGTCTTTGAGTAAGAGCTGGTCAAATCAGCTTATTACATAAAACATCTGTTTCCTGAAGAACAGGAGTCCATTTCCTTTGAATTAATACCACCAATGGACAATTAGTATCATTCCATTATCAGCCATTGAGAAAAGTTTCTGTCAAAACTACTCTGCATCAGTTCTGCTCCTTTT